GGAACCGTGCGCCGCGGTGGTGGTGATCTCCCCTGAGGCTGGAGACTCCCTGGCAGCCTCTGGATCCAACAGCCACCTGTGTGGAGAAGCTGAACTGAAAGACAGTCAGGATCCCAACGGAGTGGGTAGGTACTCACTGTAGTAAAGGGCGGGAGAGAGCACTTCTATGTTGATTGGATGCTGGAAGCGTACAAGTAGTACTTCTGTATATCGAATAGAGGTGGTCCTTGACTTACGACAGTTATTTTAGCGACCAAAGTTACAATAGACGCCGGAAAAAGTGACTTATGACCGTGTTTCACACTTACGACCGTTGCAGCATCCTGGTGGTCACATGATCAAAATTCAGACGCTTGGCAACTCATTTCTATCGACGGTTGCAATGTCTCAGTGGTCACGTGGTCACCTTTTGCGATCTTCTGACAAGCAACATAGAAGCCAGATTCATTTCACAATCATGATACTAATTGATCAGCTGCTGTGACTCGCTCAACAACCGTGGCAAGAAAGGTCGTAAAATGGGGCAAAACTCACTTAACAAAATGTCTCGGCTAAGAGCAGAAATTTTGGGCTCAGTTGTGGTTGTAGGCCGATGACTAAACTGTAGGTCTGCAGAGGTCCATTGTAACTTCGAACAGTCGCTAAGGGACGAGTCGTTAAACGAGGACTACCTATTCCCGAAGATTGACCTCTCGGGAGAGGGAGAAGATAGGTGGAGAAGCTGAGAGGGCAGCAGCTGATGGGTGAGCTATACGAGGGGTAGGCCACCTTGGCTCTTTTATGACTCGTGGACTTCAACTCCCAGAATTCCTGAGCCAGCATGGCTCAGCTTGGAAACCTCTCCCTTTCCCCTCAGCATGGCTGGCTCAGGAATTCTGGGAGTTGAAGTCCACGAGTCATAAAAGAGCCAAGGTTGCCTACCCCTGCCCTATACCATTTCAGAGAAGTGACTGTCTAGGACAGGGGTCTTCAAACTTGGCCCTTTTATGACTCGTGGACTTCAACTCCCAGAATTCCTGAGCCAGCCATGCTGAGGGGACAGGGAGAGGTTTCCAAGCTGAGCCATGCTGGCTCAGGAATTCTGGGAGTTGAAGTCCACGAGTCATAAAAGAGCCAAGGTGGCCTACCCCTGGCCTATATAAATAGCACGTAGCAATAGCCCTTAGACTTATATACCGCTTCACAGTGCTTCACAGCCCTCTCTAAGCGGTTTACAGAGTCAGCCTATTTGCCCCCAACAATCTGGGTCCTCATTTTACCGACCTCGGAAGGATGGAAGGCTGAGTCAACCTTGAGCCAGTCAAGATCTTCAGCGTTTCAGATCTCTGTCTTAGATGTATCTGATATTAAAAGATTCTGGAGGACAAAGAGAACAGAGGAAAATTGTTTACTTATATAATAAGCTATTGTTATTCAGCGGCTACATCGTCTCTGCCTCTTTGTGACCCCCATGGATATAGCAGAGTTCTCCAACCTTTCCGGGCTCACGGCCCGGAGGGGAGAGCAGCTTCCAAATTACTGCGTGTGTGCACGCACGCCAACAGGGCCATGCTCACTAATGCAGTACTAGTGGCCGTGTTTGCGCATGCAGCATGCGCTGGCACCATGTGCATGTGCGAATGGCCGTGCATCCCCACGGCTGCTAGCGCCCATTTGTGCATGTGCGAATGGACCGTGCAACCCCCCTGCGATGGTGGCCCGTTTGCGCAAGCACAAATGGGCCGCGCATACACACCCACGCTAGCAGCCTGTTCACGCATGCACAAACAGGACACACAGCCCCCCCCGCGCTAGCGTTCCTGTTCGTGCATGCATGCATGTGCAAAGGGCCGTGGGGGCTAGCACGAGTTGGGGGGAATGCGCGCCCACGCGTGCGCACCCTGGCCAGCCATTTCTGCGGCCCGCTGGCCAAGAGCCCGCGGCCTGGTACCAGGCCATGGTCCATAGGTTGGGGAACCCTGGACTATAGCATGCCACACACCCTTATCCCCCACTGTCTCCCAGAATTTGCCCAAATTCTTATTCATTATGCCACTGACACTATCTAATCATATCATCCTCTGCCCTCCCCTTCTCCGTTTGTCTTCCATCTTCCCCAACATTAGGGTCTTTTCCACGGAGTCCTCTATTCTGATTAGGTGGCCGGAGTATTTGAGCTTCAGCTTTACTATCTGTCCTTCCAAAGAACAGTCAGGGTTGATTTCCTTTAGGAGTAAGCTGGTAGTAAGAGTAAGCCAGTGATAGCTGAATCTAGGCTGTCTCTGTTGGAAATTGGATGCTGGAATGGGTAGACCTCCCCCCCCCAACCTGATGTACCAGCATCGTTCCAGCTGTTGTTTCTTGTTCTGGTCTAAAGCACGGGTTGACAACCCGCGGCTCCGGAACCACATGTGGCTCTTTGAATCTTCTCCTGCGGCTCCCAGCCTACTCCGCCATTTGCAGAGAGAAAGACAGAGACAGAGAGAGGCACTTGTGCTTCCCTTCTCCCTCCCTCCCTCTCTCTCTCTCTCTCTCTCTCTCTCTCTCTCTCTCTCTGTGTGTGTAAAAAAAAGTGGCCTCACACTGTTCTCCGACAAACTGACAAGCTTACTGGGCAGGGCTCCTGTCTTTGCTGCATTTCAGCAGGAACCAGGAAGCTGCATCTCTCTCTCTCTCTCTCTCTCTCTCTCTCTCTCTCTCTCTCTCTCTCTCTCTCTCTCTCTCTCTCACACACACACACACACACACACACACACACACACACACACACTGAGTGGGGGAAGAGGACTGGCAGACCAAGGGCAGGAGAGAGCCAACCCAATAAGAATGTGTGTCAGCTTGTCGGACAACAGCGTGAAGCCAGCTTGCCGGGTGAGCAGAAGATCGGAGAGAGGGAGGGAGGGAGAGAGAGAGAGAGAGAGAGAGAGAGAGGGAGGGAGAGAAATGCACAGAAGCCTCTATTTCTTTTTAATTAAACTCTTCAATCAAGCCCCACCTGTCCTGTGCGCACGTGCGCGGAAGTTTTGCAGCTCCCAGAGTTTTCTTTTCTGTGGGAAACGGGTCCAAGTGGCTCTTTGAGTGTTTAAGGTTGCCGATCCCTGGTCTAGAGGAAGCTCAACATCTGGATGTTTACGCTGTTTCAACAGGTGAACCAACCATGAGCAGGAATACACTGGGGGTTTCTCAGCAAGGGGATCCTGAGCTTCCCGTATTTTTTGGATCCTTAATGGGACAATCAGGATCCCTCAATGGCGGGGATGGGCTGGTGCGGAAGAACCCAACGGAGCTGGTCCCGAAAGGGGACGGAGCGAGGCTTTGCAGCGAAGGGGTCTACGAGACGGTGGTCCGCTTGGAGGAGCACGGACACTGGTGCCTCGAATGCGGCGAAAGCTTTCAAGACGCCTTGCAGCTTCGGGATCACCAGATCTCCCATTCGAGTCGGAAGCGTCCGGAGTGCCCGGAATGCGGGAAAAGTTTCCGGGACCTTTCGCATGTGCTCCGCCATCAAACCGTCCACACGGGAGAGAAACCGTACGCGTGCTTCAAATGCGGGCAGAGTTTCACCCAGAAACCAGCACTGAACCGGCATCTGAGAAAACATCTGGAAAGCCAGGATGACTCAGGTACGCGGGGGGGCTCCCCTGCCGCTCTCCAAAGCGGCGGCGGGTGACATGGAATCTGTTGGAGGGTTGCCGAATGGGCTACAGCAGTGGTTCTCAACCTGTGGGTCGGGACCCCATTTGGGGTCGATCGACCATTTCACGGGGGTCGCCAAGCAAGGCTGTCCGCCATTTTTTTTGTCCGCCATTTTTTTTGTCCGCCATTTTTCCCCCCTTTTCCGGTGGGTGCCTTACCTCCCTTGGGCTGGGCCAGCTGGTGGTCGGCCTGCTCCGTCTCTGCTGATTGCCAGCTACGCCTCGGCTGGCGCAGGGGGCGGAACCACGCATGCGCGGCGCTCCCGAGCAGGGAAAGTCCTCGACTTGTGACCGGTTGGGTAGTCCTCGACTTACGACCGGTTTAGTCCTCGACTTATGACCGGTTTAGTCCTCCACTTACGACCGGTTGGGGTCGCGGCATTAAAAAGGTTGAGAACCACTGGGCTACAGATAAGTCCTCAACTTTTAAGATCGCAACTCTGAGGCGAAGCCAAGACAGTTGCTAAGCGAGTGGCCAAGGTTGGGAAAGACAGATCTGAGCTACACGAAACAGAATATTGACGATCTGTGGAGATTCTCAGTCGTCCGAGTCACGGTTGTCCCAAAAGTGCTTTTTCAGGAGGCAACTGGACTTTCTTGGGGGTTTTTTTTTGGAAGATCTTTCCCTTCTCATCCAAGAAGCTTCTTCAGTTCTGACTGGATGTTGAGGGGGGGGGAAACACAGGGCAGAAAAAACATCCTGCAGCCAAGAACGCCCCACACCCTCAGTGACTCTAAAACAGGGGTCTTCAAACTTGGCAACTTTAAGACTTGTGGACTTCAACTCCCAGAATTCCTCAGCCAGCCCTCAGGGCTGGCTGAGGAATTCTGGGAGTTGAAGTCCACAAGTCTTAAAAGTTGCCAAGTTTGAAGACCCCTGCTCTAAAAGAATGGAAAAGACCAGCTGTCTGCAAGGAATATAAATCCTTCCATTCCCCACCATCCCCTCAGAGTTGAAGAAGCTTCTCGGATGAGAAAGCGAATACTGCATTCTAACTCACTGCGCCGCCATGGCTCTTGTGAGAGAAATCAGATATAGTAAAGATCACACCAATAAAAAATATCTCAGTTCTGCAAGGGCATTCTTGCAGGATTTATTATTTATGTATGTATTTACTAAACGTTTATGCCGCCTATCTCCCCTACAAGGTGACTCTGGACGGCTTACAGATTTTTTTTTTTATTCTTTATTTTTCCTCAGAGTTGAACTGCACCCAAGTTAAAAATCTAACTTTAGAAACCTTGGCCTATAATAAGCTTATTATTTTTTTACTTGTGCCAATGTCCAGAGCTGTAATACCAATGTCAATCTAAAGACTGTCAAATTCTCCTGCTTAAGTGGGGGGCTGGACTAGAAGACCTCCAAGGTCCCTTCCAGATTCTATTCTATTCTATTCTATTCTATTCTATTCCATCTCTCTTCATTCTATTCTATTCTATGCTGTTCTGTTTTGTTCTATTCTATTCTGTTCTGTTCTGTTCTATTGTATTCTATTCTATTTTATATATTCTATTCTATTCTATATTCTATTCTGTTCTATATTCTATTCTATTCTATTCTATTCTATTCTATTCTATTCTATATTCTATTCTATATATTCTATTCTATTCTATTCTATTCTATATTCTATTCTATTCTATTCTATTCCATTCCATTCCATTCCATTCCATTCTCTATTCTGTTCTGTTCTGTTCTGTTCCGTTCCGTTCCGTTCTGTTCTATTCCATTCTCTATTCCATTCCATTCCATTCTCTGTTCTATTCTATTCTATTCTATTCTATTCTATTCTATTCTATTCTATTCTATTCTATTCTTATTATTCTATTCTACTCTATTCCTTTACAACATTGCATAAAAATGTAAATTACAAGGATCTAAACATGTACCTATTCCAGTGGTTCTCAACCTATGGGTCGCGACCCCATTTGGGGTCAATCGACCATTTCACGGGGGTCGCCAAGCAAGGCTGTCCGCCATTTTTTTCCCCTTTTCCGGCGGGTGCCTTACCTCCCTTGAGCTGGGCCAGCTGGTTGTCGGCCTGCTCCGTCTCTGCCGCTTGCCAGCTACGCCTCGGCCGGCGCAGGGGGCGGAACCACGCATGCGCGGCGCTCCCGGGCAGGGAAAGTCCTCGACTTACGACCGGTTGGGTAGTCCTCGACTTACGACCGGTTTAGTCCTCGACTTACGACCGGTTGGGGGTCGCGGCATTAAAAAGGTTGAGAACCACTGATCTATTCCAACATTTTGCTGGGATCTTATCATATCTTCCAAAATGGTTCCCCTTATCTGCTTGGCTGTCTGTCAATCAAAACACTAAAATTTGCTGTAAATCTCTTGATACACATATAGATAGATAGTCCTGGGCTTACAAACATTTGTTTAGTGACTGTTTGAAGTTACAACAGCACTGGAAAAAGCGACTTATGGCCATTTTTCACTCTTACAACTATTACAGCATCCCCTGTGGTCGCGCGATCCAAATTCGGAAGCTTGGCAACCGACTCGTGTTTATGACGGTTGCAGGGTGGCAGGGTCACGTGATCCCTGTTTGCGACCTTCTGACGAGCAGGGAAGCCAGATTCGCTTAACAACCGTGTTTCTAACTTAACAACTGCAGGGATTCATTTTAACAACTGTGGGAAGAAAGGTCGTAAAACGAGGCAAAACTCATTAAACGACGGTCTCGCTTCGCAACATAAATTTCGGGCTCATCCGTCGAGGACTGTCTTGTACGCTTACAGTAGTTGGGGGGGGGGCTGTTGTTTTGTTTTCGCCAAACAGGTTTCCTCCCAAGTATTAAACTCTCAAGGACCGACATGGCCGGTCGCAAGCGTCCAGAGTGTTTGGCCTGTGGGAAAAGCTTCCGGGACGTTTCCCAGGTCCTTCGGCATCAGACGGTCCATACGGGAGAGAGGCCTTACAGCTGCCTCGAGTGCGGGCAGAGTTTCACCCAAAAGCCGGCCCTGAACAGACATAAGAGGAAGCATCTCAAAGGCGAAGCCTACGAAGGTATGGATGAAGCGTTAAGATGAGGATCCTCTCCTGCCCTGAAACTAAGCGATGCCTCCTTCCAAGAAATGTGTCTTGAAGGAAGCAGAACAGAACAACAGAGTTGGAAAAGGGACCATGGAGGTCATCTAGTCCAGGGCTTTTCAACCAGTAGTACGGGCACCACCTGTGGTACATTGGCACCTGGCAGGTGGTACACGATCATCCTAGAAAAGTAGCGGGGGAGGGGAATGAGCTGAACCGGTGGCAGCACCGCACAAGCCTGAGTGAGAGATGGCTGGAGCTGCAGGGCTGTCAGGATTCAGCGGAAGCACCAGGATCAGTGCCGCTTTCCAGGTGATCGGCGCTTCTTTGGGGCTGTCAGGGCTCAGCGGAAGCGCCAGGATCAGCGCCAGGCTCCAGCTGGAGCTCGGCACTGATCCTGGTGCTTCTGCTGAGCCCTGAAGAAGCACCAATCAGCTGGAATGTTGCAGCCTCTCCAGGGTCTTGTGATTTACATTTAGATGCTTGGCAACTGATTCATATTTATGACGGTCACAGTGTCCCAGGGTCATGTGAAGTGACCAAAACCTGCTGCAACCACCCAGCAGACGGGGGGAATAAAAACCAAACACACCCCCCACCCCACCCCCGCTGCCAATCCTCAACAGAAATGCTCACAACAATGAAAATCTCGGACAGGAGGAAGAGCGCCGGCGGGCGGGCAGGCAGGTGTCTTGCTCGGCTGTGCCTTGGGGGGCACTTTTTTCAGTGCCATTGTAACTTTGAACAATCACTAAGCGAACTGTTATAAGTCGAGGACTACCTGTACTTTTATCACTTTTTTCCTTTTTTTTTTTTTTTGGTCATCAAGTTTTTGACACCTTGCTAGGGGACGTGGTACTCGGATGTTGCCATATCCTAAAAGTGGTACAATGGGTGAAAAGGTTGAAAAGCCCTGCTCTAGTCCAACCCCCTGCTCAGGCAGGAAACCCTATACCAGGAGTCCCCAACCCCCGTTTCACGGTCCGGTACCGGGCCGTGGCATGCCAGCAACTGGTCTGCACAAACAAGCAAATCCCCATCTGTGGGATGCAGGCAGTACACAAAACCACACGCTCTCCGGTCCGTGGAAAAAAACTTTCTCCACAGAACCGGTCCCTGGTGCCCAAAAGGTTGGGGGTCTCTGCCCTATACCATTTCTGACGAGTGGTGGTCCAATTTCTTCTTAAAAACTTCTGGCGTTGATGCTGGGACAGGACCTTCTCTGGGGTGGCACCCTGCTTCTGCATCTCACTTCACAGATTTCTGCCCCGGCTGTCAATGTGGTAATTTTGCAGTTCCAAGTCAATAGGTTGGGGGTTGCACGTGCTAGAAAAACACTAGGTAGAGGGAGACATTTTGAACAGGTCTTTTCTGCCACTCACTGCTTGTAATGGTATAGGACAGGGGTAGGCCACCTTGGCTCTTTTATGGCTCGTGGACTGCAACTCCCAGAATTCCTGAGCCACCCATGCTGAGGGGAAAGGGAGAGGTTTCCATGCTGAGCCATGCTGGCTCAGGAATTCTGGGAGTTGAAGTCCACAAGTCATAAATGAGCCAAGGTTGCCTACCCCTGCCCTATATCATTTCAGAGAAGTGACTGTCTAGGACAGGGGTCTTCAAACTTGGCCCTTTTATGACTCGTGGACTTCAGCTCCCAGAATTCCTAAGCCAGCCATGCTGAGGGGAAAGGGAGAGGTTTCCAAGTCTGAAGACCCCTGTCCTAGACAGTCATTTCTCTGAAATGGTATAGGGCAGGGGTAGGCAACCTTGGCTCTTTTATGACTCATGGACTTCAACTCCCAGAATTCCTGAGCCAGCCTGGCTCTGCTTGGAAACCTCCCCCTTTCCCCTCAGCATGGCTGGCTCAGGAATTCTGGGAGTTGAAGTCCACGAGTCATAAAAGAGCCAAGATGGCCTACCCCTGGTATATGAGAATGAGCTTCGAAGACCGGAGGAAGGGACATAGACAAGACAATGGTCAGATAAGAGCCCGCAGAAGAAATGCGGACACGGCAGGCGTCTGAGGGAAAAAAAACTGCCCTAGTTTCTTCAATTGTAAAGGTGAGAGGGGGGAGATGCACTTTCTGACTTGCAAGATTTGAATAGAATAACAGAGTTGGAAGGGACCTTGGAGGTCTTCAACCCCCTGCTTAGGCAGGAAACTCTATGCCATTTCAGACAAATGGTTGTCCGTTTGTCTGAAATGGTATAGTGTTTCCTGCCTAGGCAGGGGGTTGGACTAGAAGACCTCCAAGGTCCCTTCCAACTTTGTTATTGTTTGTTCACAGATTGTTGTTGATCTTGAGAGCGGGCAACTAAATTTCATTTTTGATGTGTGCTGTTGTGCCCACAGTTAAAAAAAAATGACAATAAATGTTATCTTATCTTATCCTATCCTATCATCTTATCCTATCCTATCTATCCTATCTATCCTATCCTATCATCTTATCTATCCTACCCTATCCTATCATCTTCTTATATCCATCTTATCTTATATCTTATCTTATATCTTGTCTTGCCTTGCCTTGCCTTACCTTATTTTATCTTATCCTGCCCTACCCTACCCTACCCTACCCTATCCTATCATCTTATCTTACCTTACCTTACCTTACCTTACCTTATCTTACCTTATCTATCCTATCCTATCTTACCACACCTCACCTCACCTCATCTCATGAAGTAGACCAGCCATAAAACACACTCAGATGAACTAATTCTACTTTATCGTAAGGCCACCTTAATAAAATCTTGCAAGTCTGGTGCAGAAGGGATGAAAGAAAAAGCCGGCCCGCTGAAAAGCCATCCATGGCTTAGGATAGGAAAGAGAAGGAGACGCAAAGGGTTGGAATACTGGTTTTTATTATTTTTTTAAAAAATATAATCCTACGATATATATTACATACTATATTATATAATTAAAATATTAATATAATTAACAATTATAATGAATATAGTAATTAATGTACTCATTAAATATGTAATTAATATAATTACGTTATATATTAATATAATACTACTACATGAATTGGGAGCATGGTAGAATGCTGGGCTGAGCATCAGCAGGCTTGCGTTTGAGACCCATTGTTGCTGCGAAGCGGGCTGAGCTCCCGGTTCGAAAGTACTAGTATAGTATAGCATAGCATAGCATAGCATAGCATAGTAAATATAATAATATAATAATAATATAATATAATATAATAATAATATAATATAATATAATAAATATTATAATATAATATAATATAATATAATATAATATATAATTAATATAATATAATATAATATAATATAATATAATATAATATAATATAATTAATATAATAAATATAATATAATAAATATAATATAATAAATATAATATAATATACTATAATATAATATACTATAATATACTATACTATACTATAATATTATAATATAATAATATAATATAATATAATATTATAATATAATATAATAATATAATATAATATAATATAATATTATAATATAATATAATAATATAATATAATATAATATAATATAATATAATATAATAATATAATATAATATAATATAATATAATATAATATAATATAATATAATATAATATAATATAATAATATAATATAATAGCACTTAGACTTATATATTGCCTCACAGTGCTTTGCAGCCCTCTCTAAGCAGTTTACAGAGTCAGCCTATTGTCCCCCAACAATCTGGGCCCTCATTTTACCGACCTCGGAAGGATGGGAGGCTGAGTCAAGCCTGAGGTGGTCAGGATCGAACTCCTGGCAGTGAGCAGAGTCAGCCTGCAATGCTGCATTCTAACCACTGTGCCACCACGGCTCCTTACATTATATATTACATTATCTTCTCAGATTGCAGCAGTTGTTGGAACGTCTTCATGATGCGCTCCAAATGTTGTTCAGTACATCTGATTTCGCATAAGTTCTTAGCTACTGGATGAGCTTGTCTGAATGGTCCGAGCCGCTTAAGTGGATCAAGGATCTGCTCTTCTGTCTGTGCTTTCTTTGGCTGGCATATTTCAACTTCTTTTTTATTGCAGGAGACCAAGAACGGCACGGGAACCAGGAAAATAGCCACCTGGATGGGGCAACCCCTTCTTGGCCCTGGCCGAACCAAACGTTCCCCGGGAACAGAGTTGGCCCCTTTGCCAGCAGCCTGGGACAGCGGCTGTGGATGAGTCAGCGTCCCGCGGCTGCCTCCGGCGTGGACCGGAAAGGCGGAACGGCAAAGAAAACCGTCAGCCGTCGAGGGCAGAAGAAACACTGGTGCTTTATCTGCTTCAAAGGCTTTCGGGACAAGGCGGATTTGGTCAGGCATGACCGGATCCACACGGGAGAGAAACCTTACCCCTGCCCGGACTGTGGACGGAAATTCAGCTACACGTCCAGCTTGTACAAACACCAGCTGATCCACAGGCGAACAGGCAACCCGAAAGGCACCCAGTTCAGAGAGATGTCCGTAGAGTACAATCCGGGGGATTTTTCAGCCCTCCTCACAGCTCCCTCGGCCTCTCTCGAGGACTGCCGAGGGTGGAGGAACGGAGTGAAGTTGGAGGCGCCGGAGGAAAAGCCGCACACGGAGCCCTTATCGGTAGGAAAGGCCGACATGCGATCCAGTGACTTAGCCTTTGGCATTTCAGCAACGTAATTCAAAGCGGTTGGCTTAATTTCCCTGCACCGGGTGAGTTCGGGGCAGATCGGACTTCAGTCTCCGG